TGGTTAGCCTGAAGAAGAGAAGTGTTAGAGGGGATCTGATCAATATATATAAGTACTTGAGGGGAGAATGTAAAGAGGATGGGGCTGAAGTCTTCTAAGTGGTGGTCAGTGACAGGACAAGGGGCAATGGGTGCAAGCTGAAACACAGGAAGTTCCATCTCCACATGAGGAAGAATTTCATTCCTGTGAGGGTGACAGAGCCCTGGAACAGGCTGCCCAGAGAGGTTGTGGAGTCTCCTCTGGAGATCTTCAAAACCCACTTGGATGCCACCCTATGCCACGTGCTCTAGGTGTCCCTGCTGGAGCAGAGGGGTTGGACTAGGTGATCTCTAGAGGTCAACTTCAACCATTCTGTGATTCAATGATACCACACCATCAAGACCTTGATTCACAATAGGTAATGTGAATCACATACACACACACAAAAGGAAAATGCCATATAAAGAACCATATTTTTTGGCTGGAGAGGGGAGAAAGAGGAGGAAGGGAGGGTGTACAACCCAAAACAATTAAACATTTCTTGTCACCACTGATTATAAACCATGAAATTTCTGCCTCATGCATTTGAAGACATTGATCAGTGCTTATAACCACAGAATTACTTCCATATAACTTCTGTGTATCAATACAATATTTTAGACAATCAGTTGTGATTAAATTAATATTAATATTAAATTAATATTAATATTTAATAAAGCAAAAGTAAGTCTCAAAGCTCGTTATGATGAAGAAAGAAAATAACAGTTCTTTGTTTATAGGCATTTGGGATTTAACATTCTTATTTACCAAAAATGAGGTAAGAGGTGATGTCATTCATCTATACACACAAATATCAGGCATTACTAGCTATGGAAATTATGTTTTCCTTTGGATTGAGAAGTCCAATTGAAAGTTCACCCATTGAATAAGAAGTTGATGAAACTTCTGGACCATTAGAGAAATAGTTAAGGGGTTGACATGCAGAACATAATTGACAGCTGAGCCAACTATTTTCCAGTGGAAGGACTGTATCATAGTGTTTAATATGCCCAAGACATCCTAAATCTCCCAGGAGGCAATCAGCTGCATTTTATACCAGCTGGAGCCTTTGAATTGTTTTCACATTCAGCTTCAGATACAATGAATAATGCTAATTGAATAGATGGCATTACAGCCTCTAATTAAAATACCCCAGGATGCTAAATCAACAGGGATTAAACTTACACATGAGCAACATCAATCTAAAAACCTTTGCAATACCGTGGTATTTGAGGGTTTTTTTTCTTCAGGGATAGAATGAAGAACCTGAAGTTTTCTTTATGGTTTTATACAACATCAGTCTCAAATTTTGTCTCTGATTTGAGTTTGTTGTGCTCAGTCCTTCCTGAGACCTGCTCACGAGATATTTTTGAGGGAGATGATGGACATTTGCAGGGGTGAATTTGAAAGAACAGAACACTTCACAGAGGAGAACTACCACAAGTCAAACCAGACTGAGCTGGGAACTCGGTCTAGTTTCCAAGCCTTCACTGACACTGTGTGGCAGAGGTAAGAATAGCAACTGTTTTGCTCAAAGCTGTTCTCTTAAAAGAAACAAGGCAACTTCACTATAAGAAAGCAACTATAAGAGTCTGATTAGGTAAACACAGGAAAACCAGATGCTTTTCGCGAAAACTGGCCTGCTTGTTTTCATTAGTAGCTTTGAGCATTTTTATAAAATAAAAACTAAAATATAGAAAACAATGAAATAAACTGGACAGGTATTTACATTCTAATAGAGATTTGTTACAGTTACAGAAATATACATAATAAAGGAACTTTTCTCAGATTCTTTTCTCTCACATTTTTCTTCCAATTTTCTTCGAACGCCTGATCCTCTCCTCTTCCCTGCCCATGTTAATATCTTGTCTCCTGCTTTCTAACTCACACTTTACAGCTGGGTTCAAAGATCATGTAAAATATTTGCATATAAGCTTAAATCATGCTTTTATTCAGGGCTACTTTTACTAGTTTGTAGCTTTTCAATTTAAGTTCCTAATAGTTTCATTTAACACACTATATTGTGCCTTAACTAAACACACATCCTCTTATTTTCTCTGTTGTTTTCTTATTTTCTCATTTGCCTTTTTTTTTTTTTTTTTTTTTTTAAGCAAGGCTGGAGCTGGGCTCATTTCCTGCTTTATGATTTTGGATTACTTTTTGGTAAAATCCACTTCCAGCTAAGAATCTTTACTACCTGTCTGTTTCCTCATTGCTTCTCTAAGCCCAGCACAGAGATACTGCTCTCTGCTGTTTCACTCTGCTTGATAAACAGCATTTCATACTCTGTGAAACTTCCATTCTCTAGCCAGCATGTTTCTTTAGGGCTTATAGAGAAGCCTTCACTTCCTTGCAGGACCGGCTGAGAAGGAAATGGAAATAGAAAGGCATATTTAAAGGAGTGAAAGAGGAGTGAGAGAAGACAATTTTCCCCTTTTTCAGTGCTTACCTAGTGGCCACCTTCAGTAGCATATTACGACTGTTTTGCAATCCCAGAAGAAGATCAGCTTTGCAAAACAGAATAGAGACACTTTCTTGATGATCTGCTTGATTATCGGTATACGAATGAAACTGTTGTCCAGGACTGTTGAACAAACTTAGCACTGTAGTAGGCTCAGAAAGACGTCAAGTCGGGGGAGGAATATACTGAATTACCTTTTTGTGACTTATGACATTTTATTCTGTTCATTGCTAATCCTCATAGTTCACTTTATGCTTGATTTAAAGAAAACACCATATAATTGTGCAAATTGAAAGCAACACTTCAACCAGCAGAGGGCAATGAGTTGGGGGAAAAAAAAGTCTGATGGTCATTTAATTTTTTTTTTCTCTTCACAGGTTTTTATAACAGTCTCTCTTACACATATTGATTATATGTATATTTTCATGCAACAAATTGCTGGGAGATTTCTTAAGTACTATGGTAGCTTACAGATGCATAAATTAAGATGCTATTGCATTAAGCACCATACAAAGAGAGGATGAAAAATGGTCTATGCTGCAAAGAACTTATCAGGTCAAAAGGGGAAACAGAGAAACCTAAAGTAACAAAGCCTGTTACCTATGCTTGTACATTAATTTTCTTCCAACTTTTAGATTCCTCTTTCCTCTTTAAACTAAAATTCAAAAGAACTTAGAGCTGCTTTCTATCTTACTTCTCCCTGAGTGGCAAGGGGTACAGTCTTTTATATTTCTTTAGCCAATAGCCTTAGCCATTGTTGTAAGCTATAACTTAGTAGTAGTAGTAGTCCCTTGCACCAAGTAAAAATGGTGAAGCCTTGAATGGTTATTTTGTAGCTATCATGTGATGCTATGCATATAATTACTTCATTAGGCTAAGTAAAACACCCAGATGATCAGTAAAGACGATTAATATAGTATTTCCTTTATGCTTTGATTTATAGGCACTACCTTTAGGCTGTTTGAGGCCACAGCTAAAAAGATCTGAAATTCTGTATCCACAAAAAACACAATAGAAGAGATAAAAGATGTGACAAATTTTCTCCAAAAGCAATCCGAAGACAGGAAAGAACCTTTCAGGGGAATTTGACTTGAATTTACAATAGCAAGACAGATGCATATCAAAGATTAAATTTAAGCAAGCTATATTTTGATATCCTGATTTTGCTTCAAAGTCTGCACAGTTTGGAAGACAAGAAGAGTATCTATTGTAACACAGCAGAATTTTAGATGAAACTTGGAAGACTACATCCTAAAAGGGTACTTGAGAAGATCAGCTTCTCTTAGAGAAAGACACCTAGTCCCTTTCTACTTTCCCTAAATTATTCCTATATGTTAAAATTTAGCCTTCAAGAGGAATGTTCCAGTTTTAGCTCCTAATAAAGCTTTAGGAATGTTTTGAGTCAGTATTGCACTAATTTTGGGCAAGGCACTCTGACAATTAGGTTGTGATCCAATTTGAGGAACATCCAGAAAATAACAAGGATGGCTGCAACAGTTCTGAAAATGATTAGCAGTAAAAGGTGAAGATATCTGAAGAGATGACTGGGAAGAGATATGATAACAATCTTCACATATGTGAAACATTTCCTTAGGGCAAAACTGCTCTTTATTGCCTCCTGTATCCAAAAAAAAAAAAAAAAAAAGGCAGCAAGGAGGAGATTAGGAATAGAAAAACTTTTTTTTTTTTTTTTTTTTAATAGGGAGGATTGTTAAACACTGGAACAGACAGACATGAAAACTTCCCCAGTAACAGATTTTAAATAATGAACTTGCCAAGAATGTCTTAGAGGTTAGTCTTACTGCAGTTGTGCTGGTCTAAAGACTTAGGCGACACAGGATTTGTGGGGTGAAGTAATATATTTTATTATATCTTCTGATACAGCTAGAAGATGGACTTAAGCTTTCAGGCACACCATCCTTCTTAGGATCTGAAGGTCTTAGGAAGAAGTCCTGGTCTTAACATATTATGTGCCTTAAAGTCTGTCTATTTTTTCCATCTGTGTTAGTTTAATCAGAGAATGGTTTAGCTCTGATTCTATTTTAGATTTGGACAATCTCCTGAACAGCCTTCTCATTCTCTTCTGGAGTGTTCTGTGATTTGCTTCATATATCTAAATTAAGCCCTGAAAGATTACTGAGACTTTGAATTTTCTTCCAGATTACTTGATGAAAGAATCACTGTTTAAAGAAGAATCTTTGATGTACAATGAATTGTATTGTTTTCTTACAAGAAGTATTGTGGTATTTCAGGAGAATTTTGTGGATGATTTTTTAAAGTGTTTTTAGTGTTTGAAATTCTGAAAATTTGAAAGCTACCTGTTGCTTTTAATCACAATAGTCATGTCATATCTCTCCATTTACTTTCTTGTATTTCCTTTAACACAAAACATTAAACTACATATTCAAGAATTCTTTATTAAACTAAGGACATATTTCCTTAATTCCAGAATGCAATTGTTTTCCTGTGGAAGCATCACCGAGGTTACTCACAGCACACTAATTTTTCTTTTCAAACTCAGTTTGTATTGCAGTGTGGAAGAATCATCACATGCGGACAGTTACCAACTATTTCATAGTAAATCTGTCCCTGGCTGACATTCTGGTCACAATTACCTGTCTTCCAGCGACTTTAGTAGTGGACATCACAGAAACTTGGTTCTTTGGACAGCTGCTCTGCAAAGTGATTCCCTACTTTCAGGTATTGTATTGCTGTGTTTGCACACACATTGTTATTGCTATAAAAAAGAACAAAATAATATTCCAACTGAGATTATGTGATAGAAGCTTGTCTCCACTAGAGCAGATACCTCAGGATACCTGCATAGAGCTGAAGGACTGTTCCACTCATAAATTATGTGTTTATGCTTAATAAATATTGTTCTTGGTGCAATTGATTGGTAAACCCACCTAATTCAGAATGCGTATAAGCTAATAAAACATATATAAATAGAATTTCAGGAACATATAGTAAGTGCCCATGACAGAGAATCAAGACCCTAAAGAACTGTGAACTAAGTTTATACTTATCATCATGCACTGGGATTTGATCACTTTGTGTCCCTTAAGCAATTTGTGACACTGCTCATTTATTATCAGTGGACTTACTTCTGAGAACATTTCCATCAAAATGACTGGCACTTTTTCTAAATAAATCTGATTAGATGAACAGACTGCCCATACTAGATTGACAAATCTTTTGGTCTTTCAGTCGTTATAAATCAAAACAATTCAGCAGAATTCTGAATATATATTTAATATTTTTTATGGATACAGTATGGATATATGGATACAATATGGATATGTGCAGGCTGAAGAATCACATTATCAAGGAGAATCATTCTCCAACAAGTATATCCTCTGCTGGATTGAATCAAAATCACAACCTTTCATACTCTCCTTTCTAGTGGAATAAAATCTGAAGAGAAAGTAAAATGATTGCCTAATGTACAAAGTGAAAAACAAAAACCGAAGTCATGGATCATTTCCTATGCTGAATAGAAGTGTAAAATGACCCCTCTTCCATTGAAAACTGGTATCTGAGTTTAGCATAGAAAGATATTTTACAAAGAAAATGCAAGAATCTGATTAGTGGCTGTAGCTTTTTTAAGTAATTTTTTGTAAATTCTAAGTTACATAATTTTATTCTTAAAGTATCTGACTCTGCCTAGAGCATCTGACTTTCTCAGCTTGGGTAGCACCTTAATTTGTGAATTGTCCTGTTGATTCCAGTGGGACTGCAACAGGTAAAGGTATCACAAAATAGGAGGAGATTTATATATTAGTTTGTAATTCTGTAAGAAGTATTTTAAAAAGAAGAGTTTTTCTGACAATTTCTATTTAATACTGCAAATAAAGGCCTAATTACATTGAAAATATAATTATTTTTTAAAACTCGGAGAAAGTTTATATACTATTCTCTTTTTCTTAGACAGTTTCAGTCTCTGTGTCTGTCCTAACACTGAGCTGCATTGCTTTGGATCGATGGTATGCAATTTGTCACCCTTTGATGTTTAAAAGCACAGCCAAGCGGGCAAGGAACAGCATTATAATTATCTGGATTGTGTCCTGCATCATAATGATTCCTCAAGCTATTGTTATGGAGTGCAGCAGTGTGTTCCCAGGACTAGCCAATAAAACCACCTTATTCACAGTGTGTGATGAGCACTGGGGAGGTGAGTGTGTCTTTGAAAATAAATAATGAATTTGTACTGCTGTTATGTAATAAATACATCAGGATATGTTAAAATGAAGTCAGAGTGGATAAGCATATCACAAATTGTTCTTAATTATATAATATTTCTTAGAAGTACTGCTTTTCAAATACTTTGTACATTTTTTTTTCTTTTTTTTTTCTTCTGTATTGCTATGACTAAAAGTACTTGAAACCAAGTTTAAATGGATGAGGCTGTCTTGTGTCTTGACCATGTTAATGTTTCCCAAGGGTGAAAAACATTCCCACCCTTCAATGCTTATGCTTATGTAATTCTCAGTGATTGATGGACATTGCAGATAATACAAAGGCTGTATTTAGCCTTCGGAAATAACTACATACAAATAGAGCTTCCATTTACCTGGGATACTGATTTTGCTAATTGCTGATATTTGATTTAAACTTTATAGAAATGTCCTGGGACTTCAATGCAAATTATATACAACTGCAGAATTTAGAGATGGCATTAATATGAGGTAGAAGGTTAGTGTACCACTTGGATTTTATCATGGGCATTAATTAAGTAACTTAGAAGACGTAATCAGTTTCCAATGATTTAACTGATGAAGTATTATTCTGCCTATCCAGATTAACTTGTTCTAAGTTTGAATCCAAGTGTGAGAATTCCCAAAGAATGCAAGGGAGGAACTGCTTCTGTTTTGTCTGACTTCACCTAGTAAATAATGGTAGGCACCTCCTCAAATGGTTCAGAGCTGACTCTGGTGGGTCTTGGCACAACTCCAGTGCTAACAGTGCATATGAGCTACGTGCTGTGACCTTGACACTGAATGAAGTGACCACCAGTAATACCATTATTCACCCACAGGAAAATAAAATCAGGTTTGCCAAGGTGTATATAGTGGTTAATAGTCTCAAGGCAGAATAAAATACAGATTCTCTTTCAGAGCTGTCTCTCTGTAGAAAAAAATCTAGTCCTGTGAACAATTAAGATGAATTAGTTTAAGCCATTTTAAATGATTAAGGCTCTTCCATGTGCTATTCTGAAAGTTTCTACTCTGCAGGGCCCAGGGAGGGGATGAATGAGGAGAAACCAGGTGCCACATTCCCTGTTTTTCATATCCTTCATCCCAGCTGGTTCTCTGGAACAAGGGACCATTAGTTGTCTGGCAGCCATTCCAGGCAAAGATGCACTGAAAGTTTGTAGGTTAATGCAAACCTTTATACTCATTGCTTCACTGTAGAGGACATGTTTATTCTTTACTTCTAATGTGCTTTTTTCATCTGTGTACAAATTTGTATCCCAATCTGCTGCTGGAAGCTGCGGTATTTATACAACTATTTTCTTTCATAGCATTCACTTGGGGTACAATTTGTGTTCATCCATTTTGTTTGAAAACTAATTATCCATGCCTTCATCTCTTCAAGGTTAGATTTGCAGCAAAGATTCTTTTAATCGGCCCAGGAAACAACAATGATAGAAAGCTCTGGAGTTGATTAATTAGGGAATCAGAAGAGCATTTTGTCAGGAGAACACAATTCCAAAATTTCAAGATCAAGATTTTGATTTCCAACAGAGAAGTGTTACTTTCAAACTATACAGTCTATAGGAGGTCTGGAACTATTTTAAAATGTCTCTTGTACCTTACTTGACTAGAATAGTTTCAGCCTTGATATGCTTGAGCTGAAGCACTTATTATATACCGATATATATATATATAAAAGCTCTCATGTGTGTTTGCAAGACTCTATCCTTCTGGATTGTATTTGTCCAAAATGCAATCTAACAATCTTCTGACTTTGTTACTATTCTTAACTCAGACCTTTGTAGAGGTGGAAAGGGGTAGGACAAAGGTAAATATTTATGCATAGAATAAAGTTCTTTCTGTGTTTGGCTTCAGGAATGAAGTGCCAACACTCCAGAATTACTTTTTTTTCTTAATTGATTATAAAGAGAAAATAATTTACATTAAAATTAAACATTAAAAACATTAAAAGACATGAAAATTTTCTGAAGTAAGATTTAGTTCCACTTAAAAACAACAAATCTCCTTTTATACAGGTTTTATACCTGCCTTCTCAAGGAATTACCCATTAATGATAATGCAATGCCACTTTTTATGCTGGTGCATTTTGGTTATGTGTAAAATAATAACCCTCTCTTCCCTCTTTAGAACTTATTAGTTTATTAGAACTAATAGACTTGAGAGAAGAACTTTTCTATGTGTAAATAGGTTGCTCATATAATAGAATTTAGTAATTGTAGTGTTAGCCATGTATTAGCAGTGAGGATAATATAATACAACATAATATAATATGTTAATATCCCTTTCAAATAAAATGTCATTAGCATAAGTACTTTCCATTGAAATGAAAATGTCTTAAAACAATGAATGGGGCCAAAGCAGAGATGAGCCAGTTTTTCTACTAAGAACTTGGGTTTGAATTCAGATATATCCCCAAACAGAAGAGCAGTAAAACATGGATAAAAGGCCAATAGTTTGAAAAGCCTGATGAGGTTTGATCTCAGAAGAAGGAATAAAGAGATAATTCTTACAAAGAATAAGTTTTGTTGTTGTTGTTTCTGTTTGTGTTTTTTTTTCATTTTTGGATTCTGGGAAAATAACGGGTCAAAGCAAGTTAACTAGCAGGAGGTTGAAAGAAGGAAAAATTCATGTTCCTAAGTATAAGCTGCATTTGAAAAGAGAAAAGTGAAGATGTGGAAACTGCAGATACTCAAGAGACTCCAAGAAAATTCTGTAGGAGAGTCAATTTGTGGATGAGGAAAGGAATTACATTTGGGTGTTCATTGCTTTGTTTGCAGCTGCATATTATCTGAGATGTCTAAAATTAGGACACTTCTGAGGAAACCTTTGCAGAGCACTGCATTTACTTCATTTATCATCTGTCCCAAGCATGTTGAACTGTAAACTACCAAGGTGGGAGGTCTAAAATGAGTGTTTTGGAAACCTATATTAATTTGAGGAAAGCAAAGTTGTTGAAACATGAGGTACTAAGGACGAGTAACAGACAGGAAGCTGTGTCCAGGAAAGTGTCAGAGATGTCAAAGCAAGTGACACTGCTCTATCCCATGCAGACTTAGGTCCAGCTGTTACCACTAAGTCTAATGAGTGGCTGGAGGAAAGTCTATTCAACACTTGACGCTTGGGTTCCTTAACAATGCTCAAATAGAGGCCACCTTGAATAAGAAGAAGATTTCAAGTATGCTATTGGAGAGCTGCCAGTGACTGAAAATAGAGCAATAGTTCAGCCTAAAACAAGGGTTAATTTCTTCTTAATTGCTTCTGGTATTCCTGACATGAAATTCATCACTAGTTCTGCTTTGAGGGTTTCTTGATTTTTAGTACAGCTTAATAAGATTTTATTTAGGAATACAGAAAGATCCAACATGTGACATAGGCAGGTTCATTTAAGGAGCCAGTGTTGGCCATAGTTCTATAGAAGGCTCTGATAGTTATGTGCTGAATTTCATGATAAAGTGCCAAAATAAGACAGACATATATTGAAATGAATTCATCATGTGTCCAAGTCAGCTAACCACATTCTCCTAGAACTGTCTCATGAAAAGGGTGTTAGCCAAAGTGTGTTAGCCAACTGCTTTGTATATGATAAAAAGAATATGGAGATCATTCTTTTTCAACACTATGCAGTTGAGTAGAAACAAAGGAAAGACTTCTGTATACCATTTTCTCCTAGACTATTCATAAAATAGTAGAAAACATATTTTATTAATTCTGGAGAAAGTAACATAGCTGGAAATTGCATTATTAATATTGCATTAATATTATATATTACATGAAAGTTAATACATCCTGTTTATCAGTATTTAGCAGTTAATTCTATAATACTAAATATTACCCGCAGTGCAGCAACAAAAAAACCAACCAACCAACAAATTCTATATCTCGATACCTGGATCTTCCTTAGGTGTATATTTCAACTCTTAAACATGCACAACGATTGTATTACATAGTGTTAGAATGTTTCAGAGTTCATATATGACCTCAAACAGGCTAATTTGAATGATACTAAGGAATTCAGAAATTCCTGTGTTCAGAATAAATGCAAGGAATGAGAACATTCAGACTATACAGTTTCAAGTGATTTGAAAATGTACAGTATAAGGCAAATATCTAGTCCCTTTTTATGCAGAAGTTAGAATATTATTAATGCTAGATTGTGCTTTGTAGTATTGAATGAATAATCCAAGCATCATCAATCCATACATCATGTTTTAAAATGTTACTTTAATATTAGCAAGCTATAACTACAGCAATGTAGGAACATAAATCAGAAGGCACTGTGCTATGCAATATGATTTTCTCTATTGTGGCCACCCATTTCCTGATATCTCTGTTCATTAGACTTCATCCTAGAAGTATATTTTCTTACCTGTCTTGCTTCTCTTTTTCACTCCAAAACCTAGCAGAGATTTTCAGCTCCCTGAGACTAGGAAGCTTGGAATCTCTCCACAGATGCTCAAAAAATTTCGATATTCTTGTTTTTTTCTATTGTTATTCTTAGGGAAGCTATTAAGAGTCAAAGAATTTCATTATGCCTCTGTGGTTTAAAGGAATATTTCATTTGCTAAGATGCATCAAAGGCTTTTGGATCGGCGTGTGTACACATGTGTGTGTGTGTCAGATTGGTGCCTATGTGTCAGGCTGGGGTGACCATGCATGTGTCATACTGGAGTGTGTGTGTGCATGTGTGTGTGTATGCAGTGGTGCACTTAGTAAAATTCTGGCTGAATGTAAAAACCAAAGTTTCAGGCCTCTTTCTCCTTGCTCCATTGAACAGCAGGCTGGAACTGGAGCATTGTAATGAGGATAAAGCTTTAAAACAAAGTTTTAAATTTAATAATCCCTGCAGCAGACAGAGAAGGCCTGTTTCAGCATATTGATCACTTATCAGGCAGAGATCATCATACTACGTGACTGGTACTGAGTAGAAATGCTAACCTCAGTTCAATCCCTGTGACCATTTGTTTTTTTTTTCTCCCTTTTCATCTTTTCAGGGAAACAGGAGGCAGCAACACTCATTCTTCTTAAAAAGATGATTAATGCAACTAAGAATGGTCTGTCCCTGTCCCAAAGTTTATTAAGTGACCCATGGAAGGCATTTTTTTTTTTCCTTTCTGCTTGCATGTAAGAGGATCAGAGGTTCCAGTCAGACAGCCGATATATCACCAAACCCATAGACTGATTGATGTTCTCATTCAAGGAGCTGGGAACTTACCCAGCGGATAAATGAACAGTATCCTAAACCAGTACTTCCTCCTTCTTGCCACTGTGATTATCAAACAGCTTTAAAGCTTTACTTTGGCTTGAGAAGCTAAACAGAGTCACTCTTGTTAAAGAAAAGTTCTACAAAGTGCTTTGCCCTGGGTGGAGGAGGGACAGGTTTCCTTTGATGTTTTGCAGCTGGCACTTTCCAGGTGGCTAAACTTCAAAGGCAAATGTTAGAATCTTCCTCCAACCTGGCTCATCAGTTCTTTGTAGATAGCTAGGCTCATTTAATGTTTCTCCTTATATGGAATGCTAAACTGGAAGCCATAAACTCCAGATGGCCTTTTAAATATATACTGTCCTTCTACCTGCAAGGGGCCTGGCTGCTTGCAGAGTATTGATGAGGCAGGTGGCACCTCCTTCTTGGAAAGAATGTACTCAGCTCCCTCCTTGACCTCCCGTGATCCCATTAAGTCATGTTACTCCAGTCTATCCTTAATCTCTCCACCTGTGAAGCATGAACAGCAGTATTTCCCCATCTCACAGGCTTGTTGTGAGGCTGTACTCCATGAAGTGCAAAATCATTTTGATATCATCAGCAAATATACAAACCCAAGTTATTGCCAATGATAAAGTAACTACGCAGAATGGTTGGCCTTCCCCAAGGGCATTAGCATGAGCTAGTACTTGTAGCTGTTCAGTTAAGAGTTGGTAAATTGGTTTGTCGAGGAATCTCAGAGCAAGTAAGAACGCAAATTCTGCTCATCTGAATTGTCTGAACCCTGATCCATTGAAGTTGTCAGCTATCAGTGGCTATGTCTCTGTTACCTTTGCTAACCATGAACATGTACTAGATTTTGCTATACCAAATTTCCATTTCCCTGATACTGAAGTTTTTCTAACTGGTCAGCAGTTTCTCTTCTACTATTATAGTAGATTTGTGTAATGTCCATTCCCTTTCTGAAGCTGTTTTTAAATGATAAATTGTAACTAATATCAACATTTGGTAATGCCAGATTATGCTTGATGGTACAAAAATGAAATTAAGTGTTCCAGGTACCCACTGCATATATTCTGCTATAATCTAAAAAGGAAAAACTTAAATATAATATTCTTAAAATGATAATATATTCACAGGAGCTGACACAGCATTAGGACATCAGGATAAAAGAATCACTGTTCTTAAAGGGGAGTTCAAATCTCAGGAAATTCCCTTAGAACACTTGATTGAATACTTGCTTTTATTTTTCTCATGTAGTTATAATAATATATTATTAAATATAGCTTGAAATTAAATTTATTTCACCACTGAAAAAAACCCCTGAAATATGTTTAAAGAAATGCCTCCTCTCCTCTCATTGAGATTCTAATATGCATGTACTTCTGTGCTGTAGTCCCTATTCTCTGTTTATGAGAGACTGTACAATTCACTTGGAGATACATAGCTGCCCTTAGAGAAGCAGAACTAAAGATAGTTACACAACCTCTTGACATATTAAAAGATGAAATAGTTAAAGTAACTGGTTAACTACCGATAGATAATAGCATGTTCTATGTTCACTGATTTGTTACAACAAAAACTTCTGGCATTTGGCTTTTTTTTTCAAAAATATTATTAATTTGGCTCAAAGTATTTTCAAAATGTATGTATACTTAAATATGCTCTTTCTATTTAAATTCTCTTTCCAGCTGAAGTTTACCCCAAAATGTATCACACATGTTTTTTTCTGGTGACATACATGGCCCCACTGTGTCTTATGGTGTTGGCCTATTTGCAAATATTTCGAAAGCTGTGGTGTCGCCAGGTAAGTCACTTATTTTGGCTCTGCTTGCTTGCTGTTGTGACAGTGTATCTATTCTCATGTATAACTTTCTCCTTAAGTTCCAAATCATCATTTAGGTCTGAGTTACACAGATTTTTAAATCAGCATTATTACTACATTTAGGGTGCAATTCCCTGGGTTAAAAACTGAGATGCATTCAGAAATGAAGGCAGTCAATCTATCTTGCTCAGCTCTGTGTGAGATTTCTGAGAAAGAGATAAAGAGAGGAAAAGTGTACAGGAGCCTTAATTTTAAGGAGAAGAAAGATCTCTTCCATTCTATTTGAAATGCTTGATGAAAGACAGACATAGGTGAACTTATATGGTGATTTTACAGTGCTAGAATATCCTGTAGGAGTTAGAAGTTAGGATTATCTTTCCCATTTTGTTAGCAGTCTCTTCAATTTTATTTTTCATTTTATAATGTACCAATTTTATAGTGAGTCCAGTATAAACAAAAGTAGGACTTGAAAGTAAAGCTATCAGAGCTGTGAAATTGGAATTTTCTGCTATGAACCTGGATATTATCTGTCATGTTTGATGTGAATTATGACAAATAATTGCAATAGTTTCCAGTGTGAATATATAATTTCTCAAACTTCAAATTAGAAAAACAGGTCAGAAAAAAAATTACAAAATCCAAACAACAAACAAGCAATCAACTCACAAGGGACATTTGAATTGAAGTAACAAAAATGATGTGAATTGTTTTCAGAAACATTTTTCCAACAATAGCATTTCCGAGTGGTTTTAGCTTGCTTCAGACTCATTTCCTGGGTGCAAGCAGTGCTGTAATCAATTATGCATTAGTGCTTAGTTCCATCTGATATCTACTGCTTTGCCCAGGATTTATTGACATCTATAGCCCCACTATTTGTCATTCTATAAAGGCCAATAAATTCATCTTGTTGAGGATATGATGCAAGATATTCCCTGTCCTCTCAAACAGCTCTAACTATCATTTACATCAAGATATGAACACAATTTTTTTTTCACCATTATTTTTGATACTGTCTGAATTTGAGGCTGTCCTATGCTGGGCATAATACAGAAGCACCACATCAGAAGCATGTTCTGTACAATTCAATTTAATCCTTTAGAGAAATCACAAGTATAGTTTTGATTTCCAAGTATATGTATGTTAGTATATTTAAATACGTCACAAAACACGTATTTCATGTAAATAATGAAAATGTATGAAGAAACAAAACTAAGTCATTTTTGATATCATCTGTTCATCATAATAGCAGTTATTTTCATTTCACATCATATTAAGGTTAAATGAAAATTCTTTTATTATTATTATTATTATTATTATTATTATTATTATTATTATTATTATTATACGTGTTTTGAATTCTTTACATTCATAAGATTTTATGTTAACATGATCTTATTATATAATTTAACCTTTGCAATCAGAATGGGCCCTATTCACCAGGAATTATAAAAAATGCTTAGCACTGTTAGTTTTGAAACTAAGTTCAGTCTGACACAGATTTAGTACGTTTTATGTTGTTGAATAATTAGCTATCTTTTTGTCCTGTAGGTCCCAATGAGCTTATCACTATCATCCTTCTCTTCTGTGCAATCCACCTATTATCTCTAACCATTAATAAAGATACTGTAAAACAATCATTCTTAACATGTGTGTGGTCTGAAATTTGCTAGTTAAGATTCAGAGTAGAAAAGTCTGTGAACTAACCTGTTTTGTTTTTTAACCCCACTCATATTATTTGGCCTAATTCAAGATATTATCCATATACATCTTGCCCGACGAAAAATAAGGTTAAGCTGATTCTTACACATTTTTTTTTTCCAGTGACAAAAGGCAACTGCTACTACAGCCTTAAAGCTGTCAATGATGGAAAATTACAGGTGCCTGTTTTCCTAGTGTGATGATAGCACTAAGGGGCTGCACTAAGTGAAATTAAAACCACTTCACATTTATTAAAAACTGTGACTTGGCTTCAGTTATCAAGTATTTTTCTAAGTGAAACAGGTACGCTGTAGTCAGTCATGTAGAGCAAGTGAATACAGGGGTCTACAAGTATTCTTTAATGATTACTTTAATTAAGAAATCATGCTGTTTACCACAACTTTAGTTAAATGTGGTGATTCTCTTGTGAGCTACAAAGAACCTTCCAGATGTATGCAAAAAGCTAAACGGTGTAAACAGCAAAATCTTTCCATACCTTACAGTTTTTCTAAAGGTTATTTTTTAAAATGGAATATCTTGTGCACACAAATTTTCAGGTGACTAAATATAAGACGGGTTCACAAGCCTACCATAGTTTGTGCACTAACTATTACAATTAATGGCTATGTCGTTTGAGAAGGTGTTTTTATAAAAGCATAACAACATTTGAACAAATACGACTGAATAAATCTTATGATAAAGTATTGATACATAGTTTCTATACTATCTAGTTGCATACTATGTACTTGTGTATATTGTATTTACATTAAAGTCTTTTTATATTAATAAGCAGGAACCTGCTCCTTTTTATTTTGGCAGGTGAAATATATCCATGCAATCTTTGGAAGCTGTTGTTATGTTTGGAGAGCTTTTCTTTGTTCTTCAGTAAATTCTTTGATAATGTTTTCAAGGGTCAGAGGAAGGGTACATAAATTGTGGCTTTTAATACTTGTTAGGACACAGCTAATGAGTTTTTGTGAATTATTGGCATTATACAAATTCTACATAGCTATTCCTATAATTGATTCAGCAGAAAAAGCAAAGTATACTTTATGCTGGAAAGTGTCTACTTGCTAGGATACATGTGTATATTTACACACACGTCCCTGGAAATGTATCTGTACACACACATATGTAAACACACATGCCTGTGAGGTGTTACATTTCTTAGATGGCACCGCTTCAGACAGCTTCTGTGGATTTTTTTTCTGTGTGAAATTCTTGCTGTAGTATTGCTTCCTGAACTCTAGGTAGCAAAGTCCAGTTATTTGACAAGTAAAGACAGAGGAGAAAAGGATTTTGTAGAAATAGTCTCCATGCAATCTTCTGCAAGATCCAGCAATTTGATGTACAGTACAGTGAGTTCATACATTGTATCACAAACCCTACTTTTAATCACATCTTGTTATTAAAGACTGCTTGAATAGCAGGTAAGACCTTTCTATCTGCACAATAACATACAAGCAATGTATGTGGTCATGTCAAAAATTTCTGTAGAAAGTCATGTACAGTCTTGAGCTACAATTCTTTTACCTTTCATATGAGCTGCACCTAGTTACTAAAAATGTTTAGCAGAAAATTCACAAAAAGTGAATCTTTGACATAATGAAGAGGGCAAGTTGAGGACAGATTTGGTCAATCTTGTCACTTCTATCTCCTTTTCTGATCAGTTCTTGCTACAAATATGTAACTCACTGTGACTAAAAAGGAAGAAGAATTTTGAAATTAGAAGACCAGAATACCAAAACGCTCCTGAGAGTGCAGAATCAGAATCTTATAAAGTGTGTTATAGTGGGTCATGGAAAAGACACGCTACAGTAATATACCCCCTAATTAAGTAAGAAAAGTCTCCTGGAATAGAACAACAAGGTTTAGATATGAAAGATACAAAATGGACGTTGCTGATTTCAGCTGAGTGAGTGGCGTTAATCAGTAGAAATGTTAAGGTGCTTGGTTTTGGATCCTTAAACACTCTGGTAAAAATGAATTTTATTTTGTGTCCCCATGCTGTATTTCATTGACTACCTGCTCATCTAAACAGAACTTCACCAAGACGTTCCTTTTTTTTTTTTTTTTTCCTAAGTAGTAGCCTTGGTGCAGCAACTATCCACAGCAAAGAGTCTTTGGCTAACCTTCCTCTCTCTATGCCCTTGCACTCTTCCATAATTCCCACTCTATTTGTCATTGTATATACATTCAGTTCAAAGACTTTTGCAAGGGTATCCATATTTTATCTATGACTTCTTTATCTGCTTCATTGTCACTTAAGCTGCATATTTGAAAATTTTACAATATTAAGGGCCATGTAGGCTTCAAATCCTTGTTTTCTCATGACTGAAAAGCTACTTAGTATCTTAAATTAGCAGCATATTAGTAGGAGATTCTGTATAATAGGATACCCTGTTATAGAAGAAAACATTTAATGTAGAACTTCATAGCAGAATAAATTTAGAGGAGTAGTTTGTAAGTGTGACAGTCTGAACATGGGAAGTGTGTGGGAAGTGAAGATATCTTTTACCATATCAATTGATATATGTATAAAGCACCAATTTTTGTGCACTGCTTCAAGTGTGTCTGAAAGCTGTTTTGCTTCTCCCAGCTGCATCAATTAATAATAATAAAAACTTCTCCCTATAAGTTTATCTTGTACATGTCAGTATGTCTATTTTTCTTGCTATAGCTACCTAAAGTGTTTCACAAAGTGCCAATAAAAATAATAACTTACGGTATTTCTTTTTTTAGATACCAGGAACTTCTTCTGTTGTTCAGAAAAAATGGAAACCTCTGCAGTCCTCAGCACTGCCCCGAGGGACGGGACAATCAACAAAGTCAAAGATTAGTGCTGTGGCAGCTGAAATAAAACAGATTCGTGCAAGAAGGAAAACAGCACGTATGCTAATGGTTGTCCTCCTGGTTTTTGCACTTTGCTATTTACCAATTAGCATCCTCAATGTTTTAAAAAGGTAAAAACCTTGAACACTTTGTAAAGCTCTTTGCTAAGAACAATTCTCTGTAGTGTTATTCCTTTTATTCTGACAGCTGCTTTGAAGAGAAAGCCTAGGTTTCATGATAAAGAAACTGAAAATGTACATAAAGTTGCAAAAATAATAAACAGCTAACCTATCTGTACCACAGAAATTGAAGGCAAGATTACAGAATTCCTGTTAGCAAGCTCTGATTCATGAAAATGGTGTATCCTACCCTCACATTGTTTCCTTTGTCATCTACATGGGATTACAGCTTGTTTGCTGTAAATACACACATGCAGACCTACACCACCTAAAGTTTAGTGGGAGACCGTAGCGTTGTGATATGGCCTGAGAAATACAGTTTTCTGACCAAAGCTTCACCGTACACACTAGTGAGATCTTAGGTTAATCATTCAATTTGTATTTGAAGCTGTTTTTTACATTTTTACCTTTTTCTCTTGTTGTATTGGGACAGAAAGCTGTTTGCATGCAGTTTTATATATATATATATTTTTTATACAGTGCTTAGCAGTCTGAGGCCTTGATATATCTTTAGAGACTTTTGGAATACATGTTTTGGAAAACAATGAAATGAAGCATAACTTGCTGTTTTGAGACAATTTGTTAATTTCTGGGAAATTGTGGTTGTGGTTGAGAAACTTTTTTTAAAGGAATAATTCCAAATTGGACATGGAGACTTAAATATATTCCACGCAATTCTGACACTTTTCTGAGGCAAAATTTAAGTGCTTCTTCATCCTCAGGTCCCTTGGTATGTGAAGCAGGGAGGGAGATGTATTTCTAGCAGGCAATTCAGGTCATGTATGAGCAGAACCACTATCTGCAGAGGCCGCATAGGCTACTGCAGGAGTCTAGGCCCCTACTTAAATTTTCACTTAATCAGCAGAAGTTAGGCATAAGGATTCGGAACAAAACAGATTTTCTGAAAGACAAAAGCTGCTACCATGGTCTCTCTACCTCATTTTTAGGTCAGTTTAATGCCATCCTAATTCCACAAAATGCTGTATACTGAAAACTAGGCCCAGAGTTAGAAAGTACAATGACAGGAATAAGGCGAAAGCAAAAAGCAACTTCCTAACCTACCAATCATTTATTTAAGCTATGTAGATGAAAAATCATGCCTCTGCTCCCCTACAAAGGGAAATGCTTATGGTCTCAATGTACAAAACCATTAAGAAAAGAGGCTGATAAATGGGAAGAGGTCTTTTTTCTTTCAACAAAGCCAACTGTGTTGAACGAGCCTTTCTGATATTGCAAATAAGTCACCTGGGATAAAAGTAGACTTGAAGTTATGTTTGACTTCTTCTTATATGCTTTCTAATTTTGCCATCTTTCAGGTTTGTTTTTCTTTTCCCTTAGGGTATTTGGGATGTTTAATCATGCTGATGACAGAGAAACTGTATATGCCTGGTTCACATTTTCACACTGGCTTGTATATGCAAACAGTGCAGCCAATCCTATTATTTATAACTTCCTCAGTGGTAAGTTGCAATCATCTAAAATTCAAGTTTAATGTAACACTGAAATGTAATGAGCCACAGCAAAGATTAATGCTGTGTAACACCAGTATAGCTCCCCCAGTGAGAACTATATCCTATTTTGGGGAGAAGTTGCCGCACATATACCGTTGCTTTCAGACTATGTACATTTAAACAAAATAACAGTGCCAGAGCATGGGTCAAATGGCTTGAGTTTCACTGTCCATACCATTAATTCATTAGAAAAGTCCCTGACATGCAGGCTATGAGGGTCTAATAGTATGAACATGGACAAGGGGTGCTAATTAGGTTCCAGGCCAAAAAAAAAACCCCAAAAAACAAAAAAAACCACAGGATGCTATTTAGTTTACTAGTATGATTTGTCTTCATTTAGATTTGCCTTATTTGTCTTATTTGATTTTATTTGGAGAGCAGAATCAGGACCTAAACTGGTCCTATGTAGTTCTTTGGCTTTTGTTTTTGTTTTGTTTGTTTGTTTTTGTTTTGTTTTGTGAGTAGTATGAGAATGATGTGAACAGCACACTCCAAGCTCTAAAAGAAGACTAATGGGTTATCATACATTTTGAATTTTCTTTTAAATGTACTAAAGGTGAAAAACAAATTAGCCATGACCTCTCACTTGGATGTCAAATAAAGATTCATCCATTTAAGCTTACCAGTGCTTAACCATTTGCTTTTACTCGGTGTCATTAATCAAACAAACATCATACAGAGTAACTTCAGAAGTCATTGTAGCTTGTTCTGTCTAGCCAAGAATAATATCCAATTCATACTGTATCTCACATACATTTTTTTTGAAGGCTTTATCTTTTCTGATTTTCCCTAAGCTCTTGAAATTGGGACTTCCTACATCAGCGACATTAGAAGGACATTTCCATATTCTGGGTTAATTTTGCATTAGATAACTGTTTTATTTTCTAATCTATTAACTTTGTCAAAACATTTTTTATGACATAATGTTTTCATGAGTCTTTTTTTTTTTTTTTGATTGACAGGGAAATTTAGAGAAGAATTTAAGGCAGCATTTTCTTGTTGCTTCTTTGGTATTCGCCATAACCATGACGACCGGCTTACCAGAGGTCGTGCCAGTACAGAGAGTCGAAAATCCTTGACCACACAGATCAGCAATTTTGATAATGCTTCAAAACTTTCAGAACATGTTGTGTTGACCAACATAAACACAATTCCAGCAAATGGTACTCCACTGGTTGTATACTTGTCTCTACGTCTTTTGGTGCTATGTGACAGTAGATGATATTTTACTCTATACCCAATATCTGTCATCATTCTCTTTTTTGGGTCTGCCCTGTATTGACTTGCACACAAAAACCTGTATTTCACTGTAGCATCTGGATCAGGAACTATAAACTATTTAAGAAAGGGGAATTGAATAAGTAATACAGTATGTTTAAAATGTTTACTAATAAGAAAAATAAGATTTATTTACTGGAAATCCCCTTAGGCTCCAGTCAAGGAATCTTTGCTTAAAATTCACACGTGCAATTTGGTACATTTTCTGGTAGATATTTTTGTTAGTAGATCATCTTTATACAGTTAGAGGACAGCACCAGTCACAGGGTGAGTCAGTCAGCTACCTGTTCCAAGAAATAAAATCACCTTAAAAACTATATTTTATGTTACAGGTATCACAGCTACACTGAGCCCATTGAAATCAGTGGAACTTCATCTCCACATACCAGGGATGAGTATGACTTCAAATTTAGATGAAGCAGCAAGAGTTTCTGCAGAAGACACTGGCACAGTGGAGAATGCCAAGTGGGACAAATTAATCCCTAACAAAACTAAACTTACCTCAATGGAATTACAGCAAGGCTGACTTTGGCCAAATACTTTTAAGATCACCTGAAAATGACATATTTTTAACTGTGTTGCAGACCACAGCAACAGGATAAAGGGATTCCTTCAGAACAACTGCCTCTTCTTTTTCTTCTCAGTCTTACGGAAACCTACTTACCTCAGTATGAGCTAAAGAACACATCTTTACAAGTCTTTTTAAGGATTGAATTGTACCATACTTTGTAAATATTGTAGATATTTATTTTTATACATTTTAGATGCTGTGGAATGTTCTAATTTGTATCATACAAAGAACTGTAATCATTTGAAAGCAGTCTCAAACATCATCTATTTATATCCTGTTTCTATTAATGAGCGACTTATTTGCAAGGAATGCTTACTTATGCACTAGTGATATTCTGGAATTATTTTACACTTCTTCTCCTGCTATTTCACTTGCAGTAAATTCTCTGTTTGCTATAGAAGTTTCCCTTCAGATTGATTTTGCGATATTCCAGGTTACTTCACTAAGCACAGACATGACTCAGATTCAAACTCAAATTGCTGAAAGTCACACATGTTTTCATAATATTGTACTAAATTACTATTTTTTTTCCTTCAGACTGGAGTGCCTAAAAACTATCTATTTAAGTAAAACTTATGTGATACTCAAAGGTGCTATAAGCTCTGAATTCCTACTCAGGCCAATAGGAATAATAAGTGTCAGCACCCCTGAAGAACAGGACACTAATTTTGGTGGCTCATTTTAGTCCATAATGTTCACAAGTGTTGTTCTAGAAGATCTCTGAGGGTTGTTAAAATAGACAACATTAGTTATTTTGCATTTTCTATCTCTCAGCTGTCATTTATTACTAGTGATCCAAAAAATTAAGAGATTAGTTTGCCAAGATAGTATTGAATGTTCAACAAAATAATAAAATATTTCTCTCCAGGAATGTGAAGAAGATATTTCATTGGACTGCTAGATCAAGTACTCACATATTCATTCTCCTTTCATGGGACAAGCTCCCTGGCCTGGGGCTTCCTGCTATATATTGTAGTTTTCCTTCTTAAATGGGAGAAGATGATGCTGGAGACTTAAACTGCTGGAGGACCATGGCCTGCTGGTTAGATAGAGGCTAATTTAGGAGGACCTAAGCTACAGTCCTGATGTGACCCTGTTCTTAATTCTTGCATTTCAGATAAGATTCCACTTTTTTTTTTTTTTTTCAATGAGAAGAGTAAAATGGGAGGGAGGACTTATTTTTCAGTAAAAAATCGAACTCTTGACATAGGACTTTTTCATATGGTCACATTTTGTTGAAAAAAAATAATTTTTCATAGACAAGATGTTATTGACTAACCTATGTAAATATTTTTCTAGGATTTACTTTGACGTAAGCCATGTCATGCAATGTTCTGTCTACCATGAGAGCTATAGTTTTATAAACTGCATAATCACTTTATGCTTTAGCCTTCTCTGTTACTTGTTTTATTAGACATTGTTATAATTTACACTGACATAAAATGAGATAAAAATCTCAAATTGTTTGTATATTAGAGCTCTCTTTTTGTAGTAAATGAATAAGGAGACATACCTAAATGGAAATGGTATCTAAATATCAAATAAAAGCATAGGAATTATTCCTGTATTCCTATGTACAAACTTAATTTTCAAGTATAGCTATTCACTGTTATTTAAGGAATTCTTTTACTTCGTCTCTTCTATGAAAAGAAAATCCAAATAATTGTGGGAATGATAGTTTTAGACTGTATAGAACAAGATATTATTTTTTCTATGTAATTTGAAATGGTCAGAAAAGGAATTGCTGAATTAAAATACAATAAAAAGAGAAGATTGGAATTTAGAAAGTCTTTTTTTTTTCTGTTTTGATATAAGCGAATAAAAGCTAACATAGTAATCGAACTGCAAATGATATTCATCAATCTTTTAATAATAATCATATGAAATGCTCCCCCTACCACTGTTGAAAAGTATGGTAAAGGAATTCTACAAAGCTATACTTTCATTTCAAAAAAATGTATTTCTAACCTTTTGTGGAAGAGAGAGAGCAAGCATGTAAAGTAATGTATGTAAAAAGTCAATGATTATGTAGAAAACTTTGTCAGCATGACAGGGGAGTATGCACATTTATCAAACATACAAGGTTCACCAGTGATTTTGGAGAAGCCAGAAAGATTATCATGCCTTGTGAGGCATGTTACCCCAACCCATGCGAGAAGACTAGGTTTGTTTGCTGCTCCCTTAATGCAAATTGTATAAATTGTGTTAATTATATATGAAATAAGAATATAATCAAAAGTCACTGGCACCTTTTGACTCCTGCAGATGTTCTGTGACAGGATAGAAAAGGAAGTTCTGACCTTAATGATCTCTTTTTTCGTGTGTTCTTTATTTTCACTTATATCCCCAAGAATAAAATATTCCAAAATTCTGGAAATTATTTTAGACATAAATTTAACCAAATAATGCTTTGTGTGTGTGTGTGTTCATGTGTGTATAGACCATAAGAGATGAGAATTTTTAATTGACACATGAATTTGATCTTGTTCTGGTCAAAATGTTATTGCTTAAAGAGAGATGTGGATGTAAAAATCTGTCATTTACTTGTGTGAATTAAGGGTGATTTTTCACAACTTATGCTGTCTTTTACTCCAGACAGCGGTCTTTTCTTTGGAAACATCCAAATATTAGAATACATTTAAAATACCAATCAGGTGCATTTATTTTTCAATGAAAGCCATCATAGGAAATTTTCTGTAAAGATAAACCAATGATTGAAATGAAAAATGTAGAACAGAACAGTGATAATAATGCAGACCAAAATGAATCTAAGACAGAACTGAGACTTTGAGTTCATTACCTTTTGCTGGTGGGAAAAAGTTAAGCATCTTAAAGAAATTTTGGTCAGATGGAAAAAAAAAACGAATTAAGTTTTGATGCAGCTGGAAGGGAGGGTGGCTGACAAGGTCACATCTACATTACAAGACTTGGCCAATCATCAAAAAGAAGCAGCTGATTAATGCATATTTCTTACCCATGTTGAATCACAATCTATTACTGCATATTACAGTGGAATTAGGCAAAAATACCTTTAGCCATCCAACCTAAATTTTATCTCCCAGCTTAAATGACACTCAGCTACTCCTTTCATCTTTTTTTCCCCTTTTTTTCTGTTTGGTTTATTGGATGAAGTAGTACTTTATTTTAATGAACATGCTTTCAGTGAATGACAAGCTTTTAACATGTTGAAACTGAGAGCTTTAATAAAATATATAATAATTCATCTAAGGTAAAATCTAAGTTAAAAATGAAGAAATTAAATGTAAACTTACGTTTTCCTGGGGTAAACAGAAAATAGGCAAAATCTTAACTTCATTCAAGTTCTGTTGTGACAATGGGGAAACAATTTCATCCATTGCATCTCTATCCCTACTAGACATTCAAAAAGCTTTATGATGCCTTTTTACTCTCAGGAATCAAGGACCAAGTCCAAATAAAAATACTCCATAAGGAGTAAACAGATTGCCAACCAAGACTCAGGAGTGTATGGAGGAATGAGCACCTATTGTTTACTCCTTTCAGCGCAAGAATTAGAGGGGATCCAAAGAATCAAGCAGGTCGCACATTCAGAACAAAGTGTTCGTACGTAGGCACCACTTGTCAGTGCAAATGCTTAACATTTGCATGGGTACGCAGCTGCTTCTCTTGTGAGAGAGGGTGTCATGGGACACTCCTCCAGCTCAAGAAGATCCTAAGCAGGAAATGGTTGCCCCTTGGGGAGTAAGGGAACTATCACTTTATACTTGTCTTACACTTTCCCTTACATATATGCTTTGGGAAGGAGGATACCTAACTAGTTGGACATTCCAGTTGAACTTTTATAGCAAGTTTAATATTGTTATGATTCATATGTTCTGGCCATACTTCTATTGGGTCTGTGTACTAAGGTACCACCCACATGTTCGCTCTCTGAACCGTCAAGCTGCTACACTGTCTGAGGGCTGTTCAGTAGCCAAAGTGAAACAGGCAGCTGTGCATATATCTCCATTTCTCTTAACCTTTTCCTTGCAAAGAAAGCACTGAATCTGGAAAAGGGGAACATCATCCACTGCTCTCATTTCCCTCATTTATCTACAGAGACGTTCTAAGATGACATATCGTTGTTTGCATGGTTTATGGTTTGTTTGCCTTTTTATTAAAAAGCCAAGCCAGTTGCTGACTCTTTTACAGCAAAGTGTGAGTGCAGCTCCCTAGGTCACAGCCACAGCCAATACACGGGCGCTTTATTTGTTTGCTGTCCGGCGAGCCCTACAGCTCCTCTCTCCCACTCGTGTTAAATAGCGCGGGGCCGGGCCGGGCGGGCGCTGTCCGCGCCGCGGGTGCTGAAGGGGCGGCGCGGAGCCACCTGCCTGCTGCAAGCTCAGGCTTCCCGCGACCGGCCCCTTCGCGGCACTTGGGTGGGGAGCGAGGCAAGGGAGCCGGAAAGGCACCACCAGCACCCGTAAAAAGTTGGGAGATGTGGAAATGGGATGTCTTGGCTGAATGAACCGTCGCTTGTGTCCTGGGAGGGAAGTGCTGAGTGCTGGCAGGGCTTCGAGAAGGGTTATTGATATTTCTCCTTGAGTTTGAATGGAAAAAACAAAATCAACAAAGCAGACACAGGAGTTGATAAAATAGGCCATGATGAAAAACACATCCTCAGGTATAGATGCCTTTTTTATTATTTCCTTAGACTTCCATTTTCCCTCCCTACTTTTTGTATGTGTGCTGCTTCTCTCCTTAACTACTCTAAATTCCTTTTCTGCAGTTAAAACCATTCTGAAAGTGGTTTATTTTTCTTTAGAATTAAACTGTCCTTTACCATATCTGTAAACCTAAATATATATCTGTACTTTACTTTTTCCCTTGAAGCTAGTTATATTGCTGCTCCTGAAGCTAGATAATGAATCACATCTTGGAATATCTAAGTTTCCTATTGCCTATTACTATCTGCCAGATAATAATTCTATGGTCTTGAGAGAGACACTGCAATTCCTCTGTGCCTCAGCTTCGCATGTGAAAATGAAGGAATTACTCTGCCCTTTCATTTTCATTTAACATTAGATACTAAATTCTTCAGATTTGGATTTTGACACCTATCCAGTAGGTCAGAAGGCACCTGTAAAAAAATATAGATGCCTGTAGAAATCTAAATTTATGTGTTTTCAGATTAGATTGAATCTCCTGTAAATTAGCTTCTGTTTGTAAAGTAACTCTTAGACCCTATAATATTTTTAAAATAAGATCTATTCTCCGAGTACTCAAAACACTAAAGAGCATAATTAGAGTAAATGACTGAAGTAGTGGTTATCAGCTTAAATTCTATAAGTCACGCTAAAATGACCAGGTTTCTAAAGTTATACAGGCCAGTCTCCTGTGTGTAGGCTTGCCACTGTAGCCTCCTGCATATTACTGAGCTAGCCAAAAACCTAGCTATAATTAGATGTGCCCCTGTCTTCGACTGAAAAAGATTCAATCATATATTTTACTACTTAACGCTCTGCTTTGCAAAGACATCTCTTCCTTTTTTGTGGGTAAGTTTTATCAATTTCTAGATGAGTTCAAAAAACAAACAAAAAATATTTAAAAAGGAGTAGGAGCTGCTAATGCTCAATCAGTCCTTATTTTGACTATTCATTTTCAGTCACTGGTTCTGGAAAAAAAACATCTTGATGGGAGGAAGATAGCACAGCGTCTTTCTGCTGTGGACCCCAGACAGAGGGGGTCCCACCATATTAGTAACACTGGTCCCATCTTCCCCACCATGTTAGTAGCTGCAAAATATGTAAATCGACACCCAGAAAGATATCCTTTCTTTGTATTTTGTACTTAGATTTTAAAGTTTGTAACTTTATAGTCTTGCATTATCTCTTTCATCTGTGAGCCATATGGAGAATGGTTTCTGACCAAAAAGTATCATCTAGATAAGCAGTAAACTATAATGTTGTAATTTAAACATAACTGAAAAAAATAAGTACAATATCTGCTTTGTTAAATAGTCATTATATTCTGTTTTTACAGTGTTGCTCTTATACTTCACAAGTGTATCTGCTGCCTGTGGGCATTTGAGGGAACCATGTATAAATGTTGCAAATGGATGTGAGAGTGTCTGGAATGTTGTGGAAGATGTCTGCAATATTTCAGGTAATTCTTTACAATGCACATGGAATCATTTTGAGTTGGTGAACATTTGCGTATTCATAGCGTATCATTATATTGCTGGTGTGACTGAAGGAAGTCAGTGGAATTTCAAAGTGCAAATGACAGCAGCAGGCAGCGAACCACCTTCTGAAATTCTTGACTACAGCCAATGTAGCAGTCACAATGTCCAATCTTTAATGTCATAAATTGCATTTCTGGAATGTAACTGAAGCAAAAATCTGCATTCAGTGGAAATTACACTGTTTGGAGATTCCGCTGTTATCCAAAGCCAGCATTTATTTATGTTATGAGCTAGGGAATCCTGCCCTTGTTTAAAAAAAAAAAAAAAAAACCCTCCACTACCACCAAAAAAACAGAACATCAGAGGAACTGATTTTGCATCATTCCTGAGGCAGTGTAGTAGTTACTTATAATAATTTTTTAAAATCAGCATTAGAATAAGAAAGAAATCAAATAAAACATGCCTCAAAGTTGTTGAGAGGCATATTGTATTTGTTCAGTGAATAGTATTCACATGACAAAGTGATCCATATCCAGGGAATGTTGGTACAATAAATTGCAAATTATGAATATTATTGATCCTCCTTCAGTGGTTAAATAGATTCTCACAATAACGAAAGCAGAAAATCAGTCTCCATCTTTTCATTGCTATGCTAGTAAAGAAGACTAGGTATCATTGGTTTGGCCTGAAGCTCATCCTAACCTCTAACATAATCAGATGAAAATGTTCTTTTTTCCCAGCAGTCTATTGTTTTTTTGAACTCATTACTTAAAATTTATTGGATATTAGTCACTGTCTCTCACACTTTCAACTGAACTTTCCTAGCCCCAGTCTGACTGTACAAAACTGATTTCTGGGAATGGTAGCAGGCCCAAGCTACCACTACTAAACCAATACCTGGAGAGTGCTAGTTTGCTCAGCCCAAACCAGGTGCCATACAGAAATGCAACAGTATAAAAACAGCCACTTGCCACTGGCCTAGCCTAGATCTTATTCATAAATGTAGCCAAAGGGATTTAGACACACCACTGCCACGCCTAGCAACTTAATTCCACAATGTAAATTCTCAGCCACTGAGAATTACTGAGGTATCTACATTTCATGGAGATCTAAGTGTACGTGGAAATCTCTCTTCTCTTTATATTGGCATTGCCTGGACAAAACCATCCACGTCCTGATGCCATAATATGTTCCCAGATGCAGCACCCGGACTCACATTTGTTTTGGGTGAAGAATCCAGGCAGGAGAAGATACTGGCTGTTTGGCCTAATGGGTTGTGACCAGAAGAAGTGACCAAGCATAATGAGTGCTGTGGATTCCCTTTTGGATTTGTTGCATTGTCCCATTTCATTTGTGTGTCTGGTTACAATACTCCATTTCCTTCACATGTTCTCCTGTGTGCTTAATTACTGAGTCAGAGAAACCTTCTGAAAACAAATCATTTTGACTGCTTGGCAACTTTTTGTGTCTGTATATTTCTGTAGGATAGCAGCTTTTGGCAAGGACCATCCAGCATTGCAGGACAGTTAGATATTCTCTTATGTCTAGAAAAATGTATTATAAATGTAGTTAGTGTGTGCCATGGATCCAGAGGCTATGAATCCCAGTCAGACAGATAATATTTCTCAGAAAACCCACTGGAACAGAAACAGAAAACAGAAAAATAAGAATAAAGTTATACCAACAGTGAAGAATACATGTACAAGATAGAAAGCTTCATGTATGAGCTGAGATCCCCTCAGTGTGTAGCATGAGCTTATACGTTGGTGGCAAAAAGGGCAAATATTCCTTTTACTATGTTCTTGGCAAAAAGCTAAGTATGGATTGCAGTTTTTCTTTTACTCCATGGTACAAATTCCATAGCTCAGTCCCTCAGGTTGCAACCTCAGCATTGTGTCTATGTATTATGATGACCTCTGTCTTTTATTCTTCAGAGCAGGTCTGGGGACACTGGTAGCACCTCCTAAGTCATTTCTTTTCTCAGGCAAACTGTTTACCAACACACCCCAGCAACTTTTTCTGAATTTCAATTTGTAGTTTTCTAAGGCCTCCCTCTGCATTCTTTTCTCTGCAATGATATAGTGAAACATCTTCCAGGCCAGGATTGGAAAAGACTGAAATATTTAATCTTGAGAGAATCAAAATCTTTCATTCCGAAAATGAATTCAGCAGTCAGATTTCCAGCATTACACAATGAAGGATTTTAAGCTTGATTTGAGGGCTGTTTTTGCTTTTTATTCATATATTTATTTACTTATACTTACTATATGATTACACAATCATTTTCAAAATCATCATTCAAAAAAAATCTCAGGTTGCTATCAAATATTAAGAAAAAGTAGTGTGAATTATATTTGAAAGTAAAGTTTACTTTTCACATCATCACAGAATAATACAATGAGTTCGAAAGGGGCCTCTGGAGATTTCTGGTCCTACCTCCCTTCTCATAGAAGGGTCAACTAGGGCAGCTGGTCCAAGACTATGTCCAACTGAGTTTTGAATATTTCTGAGGATGGAGACTCCAACATATCTCTGGGTAAAACTTGTTCCAGTTTTCAATCATCCTTACAGTAAAAAAGTATATTCTCATGTTTAAAACATTTTTTTTTTAATTTCCATTTGTGCCCATTGCCCCTTGTCCTGTCACTGGACAACACTGAGGAAAACCTGGCTCCACTTTCTTTACTCCCCCCGCACCAGCTATTTATTCACATGGATAGTGCCTTCCTGAACCTTCCCAAATCTCTCAGTCTCTTCTCATGTTTTAGATGCTCCAGTCCCTTCATCAACTTTTTGGCCCTTTGCTGGACTCACTCCAGTATGTACATGTCTTTCTAGTACTGGAGAGCTCAGAACTGGACCCAGCATTCCCACTGTGGTCTCACCAGGTCTGGGTAGAGAGGAAAACTCAGTACTTTCATCTGCATCTTCAGATGCAATTCCCACTGAGATGATTAAAGAGCAGACTATGCAAGCAGAAAAAGATTATCACCCTGGAAGTGTCAGAATCTACTCTGTTCTGCATCTGTTTGTGGTCATATGTGTGCAAATTATGTACATATAAATAAATCAAATTATGAATAATGGCTGCCAAGCATTAAGTCAGAGAGTATTTTTCATAAATGCCTTGGTAGCACATGTATTAGCTAAAATATATTACCTAGAACTAATCTATGATAATGAAACAATAATTGAAAACCAGCAATAAAATATTTTCTGCTGTTCATCACAGCTGAATCAACACAGTGTACAAACACACCAATACAGATAATAGGTTATTTCCACACTGCTTTTAAGAGGCCAGGCAAGGGAACTCTATAAATCTGCTGTGCTTTCTGATTCTGTCTATGCCCTTTGAATATTCATAGCCGCACAACCTTTAGGTCTCAACCCCTGTCTGTCACGTGCTGTAATTCAGAGAAGCATGTTCACAATTTATAAGGGCATTCTGAACACCAACAGCACAGCTGACTAATGAATGCAAAATATTAGTGTCCTAAAGGTGAGTGACTTAAGTGGCTTTGGGCAGTAAAAGACACTAAGATCTCTTAGCCTTAGAAGTTTCTTCTTCTGTCACTGCTACACACTTCTACTCTTCGAATGTCCTGAAGCCCATGACAGACACACTCATAAATTTTGTAAATTAGCTAACCCTTTCTGACTTATTTTCTCTTTCCATCCCTGGAAGTCCTCCCTCCAAAGTTCTCTCCTGAAATTAATTAATTATCCCTAACTCTTTTGATAAATGTAAGGAAGAATAACCAGCCATCTGTCTTCATGGACTCTTCAGTTCTCACAGAGAACTTGTCATGAGAGCATTTCAAATCTATTTTTACCATGAGGGAGTCTCCTATGTCTGTGATCTTCAGTAGCTCCTAGCAGGCTTCCTGATCCCCTTGGCTACTGGAAGGAAAAGAAATGTGAGGGCTAAGGTCAGGATCGTTAGTCTTTTCTAGAGATGCATATGGCAGTTCACAGGTGGGATTGGAGAGACAGGAGAAAGCCCAGACATCATGCCATCCTCCTGTTACTGCTATAAGATGTGGTGGGAGCAGAGACTAGGAGCTGTAATTCTTGCTGGGCTGGGGCACCCCCTGTAGTGTTTCCTCTTTTAAATATATCCCAATGCTCCTTAGTTAGCAACAACAACTGGATACTGGTTGAAAATGGACTTTGGAGTGGTGGACTGGAGACATGCCCATTGGTATAGTTAATCTTCATTCTTTTAGACATAGGCAAAATGCATTGCTTCCTCTTGCAGACTTTTGCCAAGACTTCCTTCTACTGCTATTCACATCAGTATTGCATAAATGACATTACCAGCCTGTCAGTGGCAGCTCACATTAAAGCCTGTCAGTGGCAATGATAACACATGGCTGATAACTTTGAGTTTTACTAGAGCACATGATCTTTGCTGCTTCACACTGGCCACCTGAGAAGCAGTAAGTTAGGAAGCTGTGCATCATTTTGATGGGGCAGAAAGAAGAAGATATATATTTAATGATTAAAACAGCTCCTCATTCTGTCCTGTGAAAAACATGGATCTTTTGACCCATATATTCCTATTGCTAAGTATTCTAACATAGTTAATATTCATAAGTCAAAGAAAGAAATCTGGGGAGGTGCACACCTGTTTGAATGAGGTAGACTATGCACTTCACAAAATAACAATTTCTTAAATGATAATAAACTACTTAAACAAAATGCTTCTAGAACTCTTTAGTCCTTAAAGTACAAGATTGATCTACTTATCTGTTTGCACCACAAATGACATGTTCTTTCTTTTTTTTTTAACTATTCATGACAATCTGTATGAGTGTCTCTGCCAATGAGTGCACAGAAAAGCAGCTTGCTTGAAGCTGGAGTGGCAAACTAAGGCTCTGCATTTTTTTGTGTTAACATTCCAGGTTAACTTCTCTGTTATTTTTTATAGCATGAGATACCCCATTCAGCATTGAGATTTCCAGCTTTGGAGGCAGGCATCTAATTTCTAGGCTGGCTCAAGATGAGCGTTTCAATGCCTTGATCCAGGATATGCCCATAAGTTTTGATGCATTTTTCTTAGCTTGATCTTTGTACCTGACATACCTAGTAAAAACATTTCTATTTATTGAGATTCAGTGCAATGGGATATGCTGGTTTACCTCACTACAGACTCTAGTGAATACAGACCCTTAAATGAACTCCTTTACAAGCCAAAAGTACGCTAATTCTGTTAAATTCCTGACAAAAGTAATTATTTTAAGGTTTTATGTACCTTAGAAATGCAAAGCAGGACAGCCATTCTGGTAAGGGATCAGCTTGAATAAAAGAAGGCAGTATTGTACCCACATCTATCAAACTGAATATTATTTAAAATCTGTGAATTAGGACACATTTTCAGTTAAAGCTAAGTCCAAATCATGTTCTCTTGCAAAAGCATATTATTTTTGTGATCAAATTGAATTGTTTTATGTAACTTTATCCCCTAAGCATCCATAAACATTATTATATTCTTAATTGTGAGTTCTAGGTAATAAATGCAAGACTGAAGATGCCGTTGGCTGTAACACAATCATACAGGTACTGGCTGACAAATACCCAGTATTAAAAAACTGTGTCTGCACCACAGATGGTTTCTGCAGCATCACAACACTGCTTGAGAAACAATGCAGCATTAATAAAGGTAAGTAATTAAAAATGACACTTGAATTATGCAGAACAAAAGAAAAATAGCACTTTTGAACTCTCATTTTAACTGGACTTGTTGCTCTACATATTTCCTAAATCTGGTAATTTCCTGGAAGAAGAGCATTTTTTTTGTCTTTTCTATGACATTCACATACCAATATACATACAAAATGTCATATTTGTTTTAAAATAAAATCACAGAAAAAGAGACAGCATATGAGAAATTTAAATGGTTTACAAAGCTCTTGCTCTTGGAATGCAAGAGTGAAAATATGTGTGATAAGGGCTACCTGCCCGAGGAATCTTAGGCACCTCCGAGTATACTCTGTGTATTAAGACATTTGCTTTCAGCCACCTTGTTAATGAGACTGTGAGTAAATGGGGCTGTTCATCTCTGTAACTGTGTCTCACTGTGTTACAGGAGCATATCCACTATATCTACTAAAGGTTAATGGATGTGGGAAGTACTATTACTGTCTTTATACAGCTGCACTTACTGCATAAAATACATTTTTTTTTAATTCCATTATTGTCAATGGGCTAAAACCTCTTTTTTAATTTAATTATGAAAACTTTTTCTCTTGAGGAAGTTTATTTCTACAAATAAGAACTACTCAAAAAGGCTTTTAGTTTTTGATCCAGTGTCTCCTTGCACAATGATTAGAGAATCTGACACAAGAGAGGTAACATCAGACAGTGAATGTACATCTGGAAAGTGAGCACAGAGGCTGCTTCTCGACTCCAAGCCATCCTTCCATAGAGGCATCAGACGGTGTATGTCATCACGTAGCAAAATATATAGCTTTATTGCAGAGGAAATAAGAGCAACCCATTCTGAAACTCTTTGCCCCAGACAAGAATAGTGGGTATCTATCTTAAACCTGAAGTCAATGAGATTGAGTGGGTTGCCTTTGCTTCTAGTGAATGGAAGTAATTTTATATGTTTGTTGATTAAACTTGATGGAATTTCTTCCCAGTGTAACAAAAATGTTGAATAAATTGTACCATTACTAGTTTTGCTTATAAATGAAGAACATTTTGTAGCTTTTAGTGCTGGTAGATACTTCAGGAGTAATTCTTCCTGTCCATTTATGCAACAAATCAACCTTTGGAATCGCCTTTTCACAGATTATACAGTGAGTCTAGAAGATAGAACATTATATGTCCAATTTGTAGGTGGCTAAAATTATATGAGATGAATATCTTTATGCAGTAAATTCAGTGAGGGTGTTTCATTTTATGGTTAGGAGCTGACTTGCTAAACTGCATAATGCAGATACTAGGGCACAGAAAGCATGAGCAAGATGCATTCTGCAAGAATCTGGAATGGTTATGTATGGGCATAACACTGAATTTAATCATGGCATAGTTACAGCTATTTAACTAATTTTCTTGCATTAGGACAATTATTCTTTTCCTAAAATTGTTTCAAGGTGACCAGGAGAGAGTGATGACATTTAGTCATTAATCTCACTTTACACATATTTGTACAGAATATTTGGATACTTCCTTAAGATCCAATACTGACCTAAATCTCAGGCAATACAGAAATGCCGAAGACCAAAGACACCTGGGTGTTTTGGAGAATGACTGCAGTGTTGCAAAGCAAAGCTGCCGAGAGGACCCTTCCTGTTCTTCAGCGTATAAGAACTTCCAGCGTGTTTGCCAGGCAGAAGTGGGGAGATGCCGGCTCCAGGTGGCCATGCAGCAGTGTCTGTCAGCATGGGGAGAATTGAGGAAAACAGCACTGGGCAAATGCAAGTGCTCAGGCCCACTTCAAAAGAGATGTGTTAAAATATGGAAGGGAATATTTAACAACCCTTGTTTGCAATACTCTCAAGAGAATCGAGCTTCAGCATATAGTGAAAAAGAAGACAATATGGACAATGATGATGATGAGGAGGAGGAAAGTCAGGACATTGACAGAGGTTAGTGTGATTCCAGAATTCTGATGCCCTTCATACTTACAATAATATCCACATTTGTGGAAAATGATGTGTAAAGAATGTTTTTGAGAATTACTGGGAAATTGTGCACATTTATCTCAAAATCTGAGTATATGTAGCGACACTTTCAGTTTGTGAACAAGCTGGCAGTTGTTTTTCTTTTTAATTCTTTTTATTTTTACTGTGCCAGCGTCACAGACAGTACTTGAAAGTTCAGAAGTAAGATAAGACATTATTTATAATTGCTGCTTATGCCGATAACCATATTTTTTTGTTCTAGATGATGTTAGTATGGAAGCAAAATTACAATGGAATTTATCTACCCTCTCCAAGCAAGGTAACTCTGAATTTATTTGTGAATCCTAATAATTGATTTTATCTCTGTTTTAAGATAATGAGCAATCTATTTCTGACCAGATTAGAGTGAATAGTTTCAATTCAGATTACTAAAGAGCAGGAAGCCAACAGATTCCAAAATATTTTCAGTTAAATTTCTGTGATAAGAAGTTAAATTTCTGTTAAATTTCTGCAATAAGTTAAATTTCTGAGATAAGAATCTCAGAACTGATAGGTAGTGATCATGATCCTGACAGATTTACAAAGGCAAACCTTTACCTCTGCTTAAGGTCCAAATTATCTAGGTATTTCTAGAAGGTTTATTGCTTACAAGCATATGAATTAACTTTAAGAATGCAGCAATGGCATTTTTGTTATCTTCTTCATTAGTTATCATGGAACATTTAAAATTGAATTTGGACATTTCAGCAGTTTAAATATCCAGCAGCATTCTAGAAACCATTACAAGAAAGGGGCTGTCTTCTGCCACTTTTCACGTCCTGTTCTCCATTTACGTGTCAAGGACAGAAATCTGCAGGAGGGTTGTTTATGAGGCCCAGGGCTGGAGAATTTTGAAAAATGTGCAATGGTCTTTAAATATGCAATGTTGGTAAAGATGGATCAGAGTTTGGGGAGTCAAATTTGTCTTTAAATGGAATATTGAAGGCAAAACAACTGCCTATCAGCATTTGAGATAGGCTGTCTTATGATTACATTTTAAAAATCATTATTCTTTTTAGAACACACAGCAAACAGAACCTGTTTGGATGTGAACAAAGAGTGTGTTGAAGATGAAGTATGTAACAAACAGTTGTCCCTATACCTAAAAGGTTGCTCAGTAAATAAAAAATGCAACATGAAAGAATGTCAAGCAGCCATAAGGTTCTTCTATCAAAACATGCCTTTTGAGGTTGCCCAAACCATGACCTTTTGTGATTGTACCCAGCCTGATGAATCTTGCCACAGAGCTAAAGAACTTCTTCATGGCAAGCCCTGTGCAGTGACTGCAGTTCCTACCCCCTCATGTCTAAATGTAATTCACATGTGTGAGGAGAATGACTGGTGCAGGTAGGTAGAACCAAATTTACTTTTCCTACATTCTGCCCTGTCATATGCATGAGAAAAAAGGCTTGATGGAATAATCATATATATGTGTATGCCATGTATCTCATCTTTAGCAAAATATTCTTATGTGCTGCATCTATGCTCTATTATTATTTGTACCTAATGTGCAAAAACATATTATATGGATGAAAGCAGTGGAAGGCTTGCTATTTTTTACACTTCAGTCCTGACATCCCAGTTAATTGAGAATCTTAGTTCTATACACATCATAGTGTTTAGTGCCACCATTTATTTTTCAGGCAAGATTGATTGTCACCTTGGACTGGTGCTCCAGACTATTCAGATTTCCAAAGTATGTTCTAAACTTCTAAGAAATTCCTCTTGTAAATTTCTCTTTCTCTGGTAGAAGTTAAAGTCATGAAGAGACAGATCACAACAGATATTTCCTCCTATTTATTTTGCTGTTGTTATTAATAGAATCCAGATGTTATTAACAGCAGAAAGATAATCACACATGTTCACTTTTTCATCCACACGGCTTTTTTGCACACTCGTCCCCTCAATGCCAGTTAAAGCAACAGTTGGGTGGCCCACACCAAATGATAACTCAGAGAAGTGTCCTGGTGGCCCAGTGGCTTCCAGAAAGCACTGAAGGTAACACTGAATGTTTACATGAACTTGTCTTCCAACCAAATGTACTTAGACTTATCAGTCTAGCTTGCCCAATTTTAAGTCAGAAAGCTAGGTTATCTGTCACTTGGTACAGACATTAGACATTAGGTTCTCATCTGAAAAGTGACAGCAAAATGACAGCTTCACCTGCATGCCTGTCATAACTGTGGTAATTTTCTAAATAAAATAAAAAGAATCTCTTTCAGCTAAGGTCTGAGATTTAATATGGGCTTTTGTTCTGCCTATGTTTGATGACTCTTAACACATTTTTGCTGGACAAACTATGTGCTTAGGTATTTTCATTACCACTTGCTTCAGATAACACCTGCCAGTCTGCACCTTTGCCCTCTAGCAGTTTACACAAATTATACAGCAGACTGGGCAAAGTTTGTTGGGTTAAAATAATTACCTGCTCCACCCAAGTGTCTGACCCTGTGGCTGGATCCCGCCGTTGCTGGATTCAGCATGGCCTCTTTGTTAAACTTTCTATTTACTCTTTTCTACTCAGACTGACTGGTACGTGAAAAACACTCTTGCTAGTCTGACACACGCATAAACCATCAACATGAAGAATAACATAGATTTCAGGTTGTATTTTGTTTTAAAAAACATATGTAGTCTTATTTAATTATCAGCATTTGACGATGGTCAATTACCTCACTTACTTACTTAAGTTTTCAGTGTGGTCGCTGGATCCCATGTGGGTCAGACATGAAGTTTACCTCATAACATATTGTGGGAGCATTAATGTTTCCTGACATTGACAGTAAGTGGACATAATTAGAAAAATTACTGTGTAAATTACAGCTAGCTATATCTAAAAATTAGGAGGTGAACAAAGCATTTCCATTAACACAGAGGTGGTATCTGCTTTGAACTCTTTTCCTAACTAATGAAAATACTTAAAAATAAGGCCCTAGCTGGTATCATAATAGTCCATATTTTTCAGTGTGACTTGCTTTATAACAGCTACACAATAGCAGTATTAAATTAATAGACCAATCTTTACCACTAGAAAAAGTATTTTAATATATTTCTGTGCAATATACAAGAACATTTTATTTCTATTCTCATTGAATATTTAATATAAGTGATAGTTTCCAATCATTATCTCTGGGTTTTTTTTAGTTAACTTTTAACAGATGTTTTCTATTATCATACATAGTATATTAAAGGCTAGTTTTGTCCTACCCCAAGAGAAAATAAACTGAAACTATCTGCGATTACTGAGCTGTAAAAGAAATTAATCCTTCCTATAACTCATCTCCATTATCAATTAGTTTTTAAAGAAGTCAAATGCGTGTAGCTGAATTTCTTCTAATTTATCCAGATTTTTTGACATTTTGCCTTTTGTTAGCATTTTTTTTTAGCACTGGATGTAGATTACTTTACGTCAAATAGATATTCATTCTGCCTGTCATCCTACCCAACAACTTATCCAACAAGTGTAGAAAGCACCTGTTTTTGTTTTATTGCAATGACCAGTTTTATTTCTTTACCCACGTTCCTTCTCTGAGTATCTGAGATTACCATTACCCACACTGTTTTTTACTGTACCTTGGGAAATCTCCACAGGTGCTGATCTGGAGTACAGTTGGTTTTTCTCAAAAACATTTTGGATAAAACTCATGTTTTCCTCAAACTGCAGTCTTGCAATTTCACAGAATCAGGGTAAATTGGAGCAGAATTTAGGTTGGCTGCCATGGAATATTGTGAATATTAAAGTTTAAGTGCCATCTCTGGAGAAATTCTCTTTTTCCAAATATCCTCGATTTTTTTTTTTTTTTTTGGAATCACAATGCTTTTGAACTGTCATTGCATATTCTTTCCACTAGGAAAAAATACAAAACTTTTCGGTCCAAGTGCTGGAGACACGTGACAAAAAAATGCTATGACGATGAAGCTTGTCTTGAAACGTTAATCAGGGATGACATCCCGTGTTCTGCAAACGCTGCTTGCCAAGCAGCCTACATGGGCACGTGGGGCACGGTGCTGCGCGTGGAGTGCTCCTGCCACCACTCACCTGCTGCGGAGCAGCCTCTGTGCGAGCTCTTCCAGCGCCTGCTCCACAGCAAATCCTGCCTCAGCGAGTTACGTGAGTAACACAGAACACTCAAAGGAAGAATTGGTTTATAGGCTTATTAAAATGCTTGTTCACACCAAACTCTCTTAGCAGCAACCCCATTAATTATACCTGGAGCTTTTAATCCAAACTGAAACACCAATTGTTTGTGCAGTCTTTTCTCAGGCATTGGGAAATATTTTGTGTTAGCAGCAAGTCAATAAAACTGCCTACATGACTCATTGCATGGATTTGTTGGAATGGCCACAAAAGAATAGTTTCTGGGGCCTATAATACTATGTAGATTAGAAAAGCTCCAAAGCATTTGTGCCATTCACTGCTCATTGTGCTTTGGTGCAGTATTTTTACAAATAACATGATAAGTGATGTTATTTTTTCTTTTCTTATTGGAGTCTAAATATTAGTACACTTGACTCTGTAGTTTAGGTAATGTATGTTTAGGTAATTACTTAATAAATGATAAAAAACATCTGGCATTGTAAGAACAGCTCAGGTCTGTGGTGAAACCTAATAGAAATCAGGAGAATTAATTAATCAGGAGAATTAATCTTCTGTCACCAAACAGTTTGTTTACAGAAATGAGGAAGAATACTAAAATCAAGCAGACATTTTTCTAGCTTTAATCTCTGAATACAGATCTTGCTTATAACTGAAATCAGAACATACATAACAATGCATACACTGCCCTTTTTTGATAGTAATTTATGTACTTCTTATTTGCTTTACATATGGTGGTATGGTATGTTGCAGGCCCACCATTTAATAGCAAATAGTTTAAACTTCTTGTGTTCAGAATATTATTGATAGCTTTTAGTTACATTCATGTTGACTTCATATCTATGTAACTACCATCTGTCAACATCTAAGTGCATTTCTGAGACACCATCGTAATATCACTGAAATAATGCAGGTTTCTACCAAAAGTCATTAACTAACACATTCAGCGATGACTTTCATTCTGCTGAAAATAACCTCAGTGACTTAAATAGAGCTTCTGCAGGAAAAAGCTGTTCTGTATAATGAATTGAGGCTTCAAGCTTTGATCCTCAGGAAAGACCCTGAGATTAACTCAGAGCAGCTATGCTTTCTCAGCACCATTCAAGCCATTTAAGTGCTAAGCCAGCTATTTATTTTTGTTAAATGTAAAAGCCATTGCCAAATACTACTTAGGGAACTGCTAAATGCAACAAATGGCAAAATGGGTGCATTTATGGAAGCAAATCCCCTATTCCTCCCCATCTCCTGCACTGAGCTCCAAATTGCTGGGCAGTTCCTGGGCAGGCAATGCCTCTGGGTGAAATTAAGCTGGAAGGTTCATATGCTGCATCTGCAACCTTGAGCCACCACCCACCTCTGGAACCAGAGTAGAGACCAAGCACCCCCATCTCCCCAGCTCCACACACTTCCACACTCAGGAAGGACTCATTCCACTTTATGCCAGTTCCTTTACTGTATACGTCATTTGGGAGGACACCATTAGCTAACATATCATACCTTATATCAGTCAATTTCTATATTCTCAGCCTAGCTTGGGAGAAGTAACCTTTCATAATGATTTCAGTGAAAAGTGATGTCAGGAACGACTATTTCAAAGTTCCAGCCCAAGGTCTATCATTTAAAAATACATCACAGTTGCCTGTATGCATTTCACTAAATTGAGTAGATATTTTTTGAGTTATAGAAGCCGGGGAGTTGTCAGTGATAACTGCTTAACTTTTGTTTGTCGCTCTTAAAATACAAAGGCTGCCCAGAAATGAAAATTAAGTTGTTGAAACACTGCCTCCAAGCTTACATAGTCAGTGCTAAATTTTAGACTCTGGTACAAGTTTATAAATTAAATATAAACTTCCCTGGAAAAGGGATACCAAACCAATTTTAGATTTGAGACACACTAGCTGTGGTGTTGCTGATGAGCGTTATTTATTTGTTTGTTTGCTTTATGTCTGTATTTAATGATCCAAATGAGTGATCCCGTAATGAGACTAGTTATTCTTCACCTATGAGCAAAGAGATGACCGTCATATCATAATAATCAAATAACTGCTCATCAGCTGCTGCCATTCCCTGAAGCAGTCTCATGATAAAATGCTTTTCATGATGGAAAACATCTACTTCACTGAACACTTGTGTGGTGATTTGTGAATTTTGCTTCTGCTTTTATTTTTATTTTTTTAAATGTCTGGCCAGGATGCAACTAAACTATGAGAGATTTGATTAAGCTGATGAGTTTTTAACATTGAAGTTTCTCTGAATTGGCAAATCCAGAACTGGTGCTTCCTGTAAATAACATTTTCACCATTACATGGGGTTGCCTTGCTGCACATATTTGCTCTTGAGGATCAGCTTCCAAAATTAAAGCTTGCAGCATGCTCAGTAAAAAGCGAAAACCACAAACATCTGTCTGCTAGATGAGACAGGAGCATTGTGTGGACTAGTGTCAGGGTAGGATCTGTGGCTTGAGAGGAATAAGGAAAAACACCAGTGACATAAAGTAAAATGTTATGTTTCCAAAATATTTTGATTTCGGGTTATACTGTTGGATCTCATAGAAATAATATGTTACAAGAAGATTTAGTTTAGGGCTATTTAGATGCTATTCGAGACTGCACACATGATTCTGTATGTCTCCTTCTTTTCATTCCTCAAAGGAATAAAAAGTTATCAGGTTGCTCCTGTTTGTGTGAGTGATCATGCATGTTCTTGCATATTTTAGCCTCCCACTCTGTAAATTCTACAGGTTGACCTTTCACTGGGGCTGTTGTACTTTGAGATATGTATTTTTAGATATAGTCATGAAATTATGTTCACTGAGCAATAAGGCTTTGTAAAAGAAAATCAGTATTTTGAAATCACCTCAAACTAGCATCCATTCCTTACGACTTCTCTTTTTGTTTTCCTTTTGGAGGGCCTATTTCTAAACTTGTTGCTTTTTTTTTTTTTTTTGAGTGTATGTGTGTGAAAAGAAAATGTAACCAGTTCTTATGAGGAATTTATTTTTTCTTTAAAACACGCTTCATTCATAAAACAAACTCCAGTGGAGATGCAACTGAGATAAAAAAAGGAAAAGCTTGTATTCTCTCATTCATTTGGTTCACTGAGTATCAGTAAATAATTCTTTTAAAAAGCTTCATTTGGTGGGCCTATTTCTAAACTTGTTACTTTTATTTTTTGGAAGGATGTGTGTGAAAAGAAAATATAATCAGTTTCAATTGGGATATTATTTTTCTTTAAAACACGATTCTTTCATAAAGCTTCATTTGTAAAATTCTGTGACTTCTATCAAAGCAACAGGAAAGAATATTCACCTAAGTCATCATTTAAAAATAAAATTTTGAATAAGTATTTTCTTTTCAATATTCAGGTCAAATCCCAATTAAGAAAAGAGATTCCCATTGGGTAAATAAAGAAATACCAGGAGAAAAGCTTTCCAGAGCACAGCTGCATTCTTCTCCAATTAACGGTGAGTTAGAACCAATCGCTTCATGATTTTAACAGAAGTTCTCTTAAAATTGCTCTTATGTATGACAGGGTGGACTAAATGTTGGGACCCTTGGATGTGTTCAGGAAAGTGAACTAACTCTATCTGTGGCTGCCCCATTCAATATAATGTGGGCAAGTCTTTCTACCTGTTTGTCTTAGCTTATATAACTACAGAATAAATACAATGAGACTGACCCGGTTTTGCTGCTAAGTGGTTTTGAAATAGCTGGCTCAAAATCACTATATTATAATTGGGGAAAATTAAGCTATTAAGCCTGACAGAGCCTGACTGTCCATGTAATCATTAGAGAGCAGTAGTCATAATGTATCAGTGATTAACTTTGATGTCACACCTACTTCTCTCTTAGCTCCCTTGATGTTTTGTGCCATCGGGGTTACAACTACTAAATTAGGAAGCCCCAGTAAGCGGCTTGAGAAGGGTACGGTGTCACTCTCCATCTGACATTACTTTCTCATGCAGCTGAAGGGTGTTTCATTGTAGATCATAATATCTCACAAGATGAATAGCTGCATCTAGTTATATTTTCAAGCATATACAACTCACAGCAAACATAACACAAAGCTAAAGGACGTTGAATTAATATAAAAATATTCTCATAGCTGGAGCAATATTAATTTCATATTTCCTTTTGAAGGACCCCACTACAGAATGAGAACACTGGAAAGCTAATGCATAAACATTGACTGGAATGAGAAAGATCTGTTCTCCAGATCTGTTCTCCCTTACGTGGAGCAGATTAGAGCACTCTAGACATTACTATGAATTAGTTCCTAGAAATGTTCATACTGAGCATCTTTTACAGTGGATCAAGCAATTCAAACTCTGTGCAGAGTACAAAATAAAGGATATGCTGTTATCTCTATCCTTCAGCTATTGCTGAAGTGGGAAGTATAAAAATAGATTGTCATGACTGGAATTCCTGAAAGCTGCATGTGAATTATTAAGTGAATAATTAAGCATCCATTTGTCACTTTAGCAGTAACATTACTTACTCAAGAACCACGATGTCATCTGAGTGCTCTGTGCAGTTAATGAAGAATTTCAGAGACTATTGGAGGAGGACTGATCCCATCTTAGGCTGTCTTTGTTGGTATCCAGAATGTCCTTGACGTGTCACCCAGTCTTTACTGACTACAGGGAGGGCGATGAAACTCCATCTGGAACTTAACTCTAATGTTCAAGTAATTAAATTTATGGACAGAAATGCTACTCTTAACTGAGAGAATATCAGATACGAGGTGTTTCACTCCAGTGACTACTATTAACTACATATCCTTTCAGTGGGTGGAATGTATTATGCATTTTCCCCAGAGAGCCAGATAAATGTTTGCAAAAAGCAGGTTGTACCTAGTTAATTCTTCTCCCACTGAAGTCTGAATACTTTCCAAAATTCTGTCCTTGAAATCCACCAGAATTTTGGATGGCCTTAGAAAAGCAGCAAGAGTGCTGACCAACCTTAAGCCTGCAATAAAGCACTCCTCCTGTTAGAGTTGTCGTGTGCACTAGCTGGGACCTCTT